GTCAACAGCACGGCCTCAAACGACAAGCACCATCACAGTCGCACGCAGCTGTCACGTCGCAATAAACGCCAAGGCACGATGTCGCGGCTCCGAAGGGCCGCAGCGGCGACGAAGATGCTGCGCTACGTCCCCAGCTTGGCTCATTTCTACTACCACGCCCGACCGTCAGTCAAGCGACGCGCACACCGTCGCCATGCAGTCGACAACGACGCCGATCACCTATCACTAGGGCACCGCCTCGCCACAACCCATGGCAGACGAGGTAATCAACCTCCTTTGCCCTCTTTGCTGGCAACAAGCGCGACTCCTGAAAATCGTATTTCCCTTGCTTGTACCATGGTCCAAATCACGAAAAGGTACGAACCAATCCTAGCTTGCTGCCGCCGTCGATACCCAAAGCCAAAGCACCACGGAAAGACAAAGCAGAGTGTGTGGCCGTCGCAGCGACTTTGTCGCCAGCCAGCGCAAGTGGATGCTCATCGAGAGCGCATTCCAGATGTGAGCTGGTACCGGCACCGACTTGTCGGCCACGTCGACCGCCGCCGCCCAGATCTGGTTCGCTGTCCACCCAGCTCTCTGTGGCTTCGTCTTTCTCTTTGTCGTCACGCGCTGGGGCCACATGAGGACGGTGGCGGTCTTGTACCGGGGCCAGCGGCTCGTCATATCTTGCATTTTTCCAAACGAAAATCCATCCGCCTTGCTCTAGGTCCATGCCCTAAGAATAGGGTCTTAGAGCCTACTTTTGGGAAATCCTCAATTTGAAGGTCCCACTGCTGCTCGGCCTGCCGCTGCAACGATGGTATTAGCAGGCGGTGTGCATGGAATTGAGATAGACCATACCGTCCGCAAAGACTGTTATCTGGGCTGGCACCAGCAGATACCGGTACAGCAATGTACGTCAAGGCAGCCCGGGTGTCGATGGTCTTTTCGTGGCATCCGAGGCAACGGCATCAGTGCTGTTGTGATTCAAGGCGTTCGCAGTAAACCTGCTGCACCAATGACAATGACCAAGCCCGGCACGAATCCTCCGACGCTTACAGTGCCCTCAACGGTGCTGTCAGCGCGGTAGTGGCGCGAGATTCGGTTCCTCCTCGCGATCCTGGCGTCAATAGAGCCGCTTTCTTATCCTAATGGGGTCTACCCATGAAGCTATCTATGACAGCAGCAGCGAAAGAATGGATGCCACTGGTTGACCATGCTTGATGAGTTAATCATGACGCAGCATGCAATGGCGATGACGTCACTGCGCAATCAAATCGAGCACCAAAGCCTGTCCCCCATTCGTGGCCGATTCGCTTCACGTACGACAATGGTGCATTCGACTGCTTTTATTTGTAGAGGTTTTATGTGCCTAGACGCGGCTACGGACCGGGGCATCGCGCGAGCTCACAAAGTCGAACGTCAAAAAGTTCGCCGCGAGTTCGCGGAGGACCTTGACGACGGCGACGTGGTTCGGGTGGACGTCGTAGGCTGCAAGCACCTCGGGGCTCTCCATGCGCGCGACGAGGCCGTGCGTGAAGCCCTGGGCGTAGCCGACCTTGAGATCTTCGCCAAACGCCATGTCAATAATGCCGGGGACGACTTCTTTGAGCGCCAAGATGGAGTTGCCGAGGGCAGTGATGGCCTCCGGCGTCACTTCGGGCTTGAACTGGAGAAGGACAATGTGTTCCATTATAGACGAGTTGTTGGTTGTGCGGGAAATTGAAAAGTGAGCTCCGACACGTGCGGTACCAACCTTGCCGAATTCGGCGTCGCGATCTTCCGGATTGGGAACTTCTCGGTTTGCAACGCAAAAACTCCTTCTTTGCGTGGTTTTTATCACATAAAAATAGGCAATGCCTCGTGGGCGAAAAACGTTTGTCCCAGTTGAACCACAGGAAAGATAATTGCCCCATGTTGTACCCCGTGGGTTAAACGTCCTTGGTGCCACTTGATATCGAAAAACACGGCCATCAATCCGGATACAACGGGACAAACGTGTGTAATGAGGGCTAAACCTTGGGGTGATGACCTTTCGCGTGATTCGTTCACGCCAAGCGATGCGGTAATCAACCCGCCGGTGCTGCGCAATCTTCGACCTTCGGTGTCCGAGCAGCCTCATGCATGCTTCCACGGACCTCCATGAGGTCTACCCGAAGAACTCCCTCCTCTGTACGTCGCCCATGGCCATCCGTCGACGCTAATGTGTTGCATGTAGGGCGCGCCGTGACCATCGTCTTGCTCGTCTGCGCACTGCCGCTGGTCGTGGTACGTCGCCGCCGGTCGCTGCGCCCGCATCATCCCAACGCCGTAGGTACTTGGCCTCCTCGTGGGCATATACGCAGGCGTGGCCAAGCTGCGTGCGTGCTGCCGCCCACGCAAGCCACACGTGACCGACCGGTTCACTGCGTACCCACCGCCCGCACCGGCCGCCAAGGTCCCGTACACGATCGAGTCGACGTACGTGACGATGGCCGATGGC